GTGAGTGGAAGGGGCTGAAGGATGTGCCTTTGAGGCTTCTTCGAGGCCCACCATCGCGTGTTCTTGACCGCTGAAACCTGATCATCACAGTATTAAGCACTTCACTTAATCCCCGCACACACCCTCCCCAGGTGGGTATCATTTCCATTTTACAGATGGGGAAGAAGCAGCAAGAAGAAATGGCAAAGCTGCCCTGGCTGGTGTGGCTCAGTGGTTGGACACCCTCCTCTGCACCAAGGGGTCCTGGTTCCATCCATTGGTGGGGTTGTGTGCAGGAGGCAACCAATCCACGTTTCCCTCTCTCTAAAAAAATCAATATTTTAAAAAATTTTTAAAAAGGAAACACAAAGCTAAGTCAATGACTGAGCTGGTTTTGAACCCAGAAGTCTGGCTAGAGCCCACACTCTCACTAAGCTAAACTGCACCTAACCTGGGAGGACAGCAGCCCGGGAGTTAGAAGGCTGGTGGGGAGGCCAGAGTCATGCGCGAGGGCAGCCCGCACCCTTTGCTTTGGTAAGAAACTTGGGGCTGAGTGTATGTGGAATCTCAGACTTCTCTCTCACCAGTGGTTCCAGATTTCTGGATTTGACAGAAAAGCCAATACAAGGGAACAAAAGCCAAGTTCCCACAAAGAGTTGCAGCTTTCATTTATGCTCCCTAAGATCACTCAAAGCACAACCATCATCTATTACCAGGGGTGGGCAAACTTTTTGACTCGAGGGCCACAATGGGTTCTTAAACTGGACCGGAGGGCCGGAACAAAAGCATGGATGGAGTGTTTGTGTGAACTAATATAAATTCAAAGTAAACATCATTAGATAAAAGGGTACGGTCTTTTTTTTTTTTTTTTAGTTTTTTTCATTTCAAACAGGCCGGATCCGGCCCGTGGGCCGTAGTTTGCCCACGGCTGCTCTATTACCATATTTCATAAAAGCAAGTATATTTGAATTCTCCTCTCACGAAGAAACACATCATCTCAATCAAAAGCAGCCATTCCCAAGAAAGACCAGTCACTGACTTTACACCTGCAAATAGACATTCCTCTTTATTATTTCCTCGTGCTGCGGACCCATGGAAATGTCACCCTGGGGGTGCCTCTGCCGCCAACCCCTCTGAGTCAGTTGAGGGCAGAACCGAAGGGAAGGGGCTTTAGGTGTAGCGGGAAGGAGCTGGGTTAGAGCCAAGAAAGAGTTCGCCTTTGGAGGCCTTTACAGAACACGTGAGCACCGTGTTTGCTTAGCATGTGAAGGTTGCAGAATCAAATCCATGGATGGGAGAGGCCAGTAGCTCTGAGTCACACCCCAGAGAAGGGCAGGGACCTTGTTCTGAAGGGTCTATCCCCAGGCCCACCAGGGTCACCTTGGAACCTAAAGCAGCCCTCAGCAGGCAGGCGTTTCCTTCCTGGAGCTCATGGGTGGTGACTGTGGGTCCCACGCAGGGAGGAGGCCTCCTTGCAGGGAGTCTGTGTAGTCACCCACAGGCTACCTAGCTGGGTGTCGGTGGGGCTGGGGCAGAGGGACGAAGGGAATGGCCATGTAAGAGCGCTGCCCGCAGCCAGGTGTGGTGGGCACAGGCCTGGATGGCTGCAGCATCGTGGGGAGGCTGTTTTCCTGTTTCCCCACCTCCTTCAAGCCCAGGGGCAGCCCAGGACCCAGAGCCTCCCAACAGGAGCTCGCCGCCAGGCAGGGAAGCCCCGTTCTGGTACAGCCATGCTCAGCGCTGGCTCTGGGCCCGTCACCTCCTGGTTCTACACCAGAGGTGAGGCCCGCAGGTGTGGGGCCAGGGGGTGAAGAGAAGGATGGAAGGGTCTGGCCACCTGCCCCATCCTAGTAGTGAAGATCAAGGCCTTCAAAGTTGGGCTCTTCCAGAAGAGGCCTCAAGCCTCATTCTGCCTGGGGGAGGAGGGGAGTGGGGAGATGGGGGTGGTACTCACAGATTTAAGCCCCCATACTTTAAAGGCACAGACCTACCCAAATTTTAAACCTGGAGTTTTAGAATGGTAAACCTGAGTCTCCGGGTAGAAATGCAGAACCTGAGACCAAGGCAAGGGCAGTCCCTTCCTCTAGGCCACACTGGTTAAATGGGCCCGGAGCCCGTATCTAGATTTTGTCCCTGTTCTGCCCTCAAGTCCTCAGAGAACGACAGAAGTCATGCCTTGAGCACCTACTAAGTGCAAGACTGTGCTGCATGTTGGAGACGCAGACAACTACCCTCTGGAGCTCCTGGTCCCACAGGGTGTACACTGCAGGAGCACATGCAGGTGTGGGAGCTGGTGGATTTGCCTCCAGACTCTGCAGCACTTTGTAAACTGCATCCCTGTGTTGGGGGGTTGGGGAGGGGGCTGCCTGCAGCAGCTCCCGAGGCCCAGCAGTGGATCTGTGGTGGAGAGATGGAAGATAGGAGGGCCAGGGAAGGGAGGGAACTGGGGCTGCCAGTGGGCACACCCCCAACACCCCTCCCAGAAAGTTTCAAAGGCCCAGCCCAGAAATTGGGCCTCTGCTGCCCTCTAATGGAGGAAAGGCGGCCTCGGGAGCCCCCTGCTGCCACCCCACCAGCCTGGCTGCCCTAAGGAATAGGGGAGGTGAAGACCCTGCCGGCCCAGACTTTTTATTCCTGTAGAGTCTTGAGCTTCATTTCCCGCAGCCTCTAAGCTAAACCCTCTCTCCTTCCAAGCTGCTCTGGCTTCCCTGCTTCCCGAGCACCCTCCATCCCACCATTTCTTCCGTTTCCTCTGTTGCCTGGGTTGCGATTCTCGCACCCTGATTCCTGGCTCTGCCAGGGTTCTGGTTCCGGAAGGCCCTTACCAGGTGCCTCCGGCCTAGCTCCCACCTGGGCCCAAGGCGGCGCGGAGGACATGGGCAAGAACGTCTCCCCACTGGGGCATCTGAACATCCGCAAGAGTGTACTGGGCTTGACCATAGGCGCCGGGGCCGTCTACCTGCTCTACAAGGCCATCAGGACTGGCATGAAATGCCAACAGCCCCTCTCTACCTCCTCGCCCACCTGCATCGCCCGTGAGTGTCTGGGCCCTGGGGGCAGGACTTGGCTCCAGGAGGACCTGCTCCCCAAGGCCTCCAGTGTGGGAGGGCCCACAGGTGACTCCAAGTTCCTCCTCTCTCTTTCTCTCCTCCATCTTCCTTAAACTCGCCCCAGCACAGGGGCCTGGGACTCAAGGGGGTCCTCAGGACTCATCTGGCAGGTCTTTACACTCTCCATTCACTCTGGCTTCTGGGACGCCACTGCGTGAGGATCAGGCATCAGCAGTTCTCCCCGCCCTCCCCACCCCCCCAAAGGAAAATTGGGGGACCTACGTGCCCAGAGCCTGTACTAGTTCATATGACAACTTTGGGCAAAGTAGAAAAGGGCTCCCCTTCTGCAAGACGTGTTGTTGCCATCTGCTGGAATCTCAGGGCCATATGCTAATTAGGATGGAAAACTGTGTGTTCCTGCATATGCCAGGAAATTGTTAGAGTAAATATTTAAAACTGTGATGTTTATGATGTGACTGACACAGCATTAGATAAGGTGTGCCGTGCACGCCACACCCTGTCCAGCTGTACGCGGTGGTCCTGCCTGTAGCGAGAAAGCTCTTCAGAAGAGGCAAGGCAGCTTTGTCCCAGGTCCTCCCCCCCCCCCCAACCCCATTCTGTCTGCGCTCCGAGTCCACAGCCTGAACTGGCTGGGTTGGCTGTCTAGGCCTGGCCATCGAGCGAGAGCGGCACGGGGGGGACTCAGGTGAGCTCCGGAGGCTTCTCAACTCTTTGGAGAACAGACACGATGAGTACACCAAGGGCATGATCCTGCACAACATCACGCGCTGTGTGTACTTGCTGGAGGCTGAGGTGAGGGGCGGGAAGCAGGGGGTCCCTCCTAGCCAGCCTGGCCCCTGGCGGCTACAGTCTTGCCTGGCCAGACTGTGTCCTGGGGCCTGTCTCTCCAGCTGATGATGGTGGGAGGGGTTGTGGGGAGAGGTCTTGGTGACATGGGGTGGGGGGCACTGGGCCTAGGACATGCACTGCTCCTGCCTCCTCCGTCTCTCCCGGCACACCTAGGCCGCTGCCTGTACTCCTGATGACATCATGCTCGTGGGCTCCATGCTAGATGACAAGGACAACAGTGTCAAAATCCAAGCTCTGAACACGCTGAAGGCTTTCTCTGGCATCAGAAAATTCAGGCTCAAAATTCAGGTGAGCCCAGGGGCAAGAGGTGGGGCCGAGTGCACAGGTTGCCCGCAGCCCATGGGTCCTTTAACGGGCGTAGGACAAGTGGTCACGTCCCAGAAGTTTGTTTGGGGCTGAGTTTATAAACCAGAAATAGGTTTTTCCCTGGGAATAAGTGGGAAAATGGTGGTCACATTCCCAACAGGGTCATTCAAAGCCTTTGACTCTCCGGATGAAACTGGACTGGGCTCTAGGGCTAGGAGTCTCGCAGAAACCCAAATAGCAGAAAGCCCCCTGAGGTTCTTTCTGACACCAACTGGGTGTTCCACAGTTTAATCCAATGCCGACACCACCTGGAGCTGGCACAGACTCCACAGGTTAAGGGCTTAGTCCCAGCAGGATGCCCCACCTCAGATGCTAGTCACAAGTCCCAGCACTTTGGCCTGACCCGCTATAAATTTGGAGGTTCCTGCGACCCCCTTTTTTCAGGTTTGATAATTCATTAGAACGACTCTCAGAACTCAAGAAAGTACTACTTATTCTTACTGGTTTATTGTAAAAGATATAACCGAGGAGCAGCCCAATGGAAGAGAGGCGTAGTTTGGAGGAAGACTCAGAGGTTCCATGCCTTCTCCTGGCTGGCCTCCCTCCTAGTGCCTCGATGTGTGCAACCCGGAAGTTCTCCGAACCCTGTCACTTGGGGATATTTATGGAGGTCTCGTTATGTAGGCATGATTGATTAATCATTGGCCATTGGAGGCTGAACTCACTCTTTAACCCCTCACTGCTCCCCAGAGGTCAGGGATGGGGCTAAAAGTCTCAATCCTCTAATCAAGGTGTGGTCTTTCAGGCCACCAGCCCCATCCAGAAGCTATCTGGAGGCATGCCACAAGTCACCTCATTAGCATAAATGTTGGGGTGGTGGAAAGGGGGTCAGTGTGAATAACAAAAGAGCTTCCGGTCAGGAAACTGCAAGGATTTTAGGAGCTCTGTGCCTGGAACCAGGAATACTGTCATACCACACGCCCCACGCTGTGCTGGTCAGAGGCTGGGGGCTGGACCCACCCCATGTCAGCTCCCCCCCGCTTCCTGCTACCAGGCCCAGCCTGCCTGTTTCCACACCCATCCTGCTGGTGCCATGGACACATGGCTGGCTTCCCATCTGCGGTCAGTGTTCGTCCGTCTTGGTCGCATCCCATCCTTGAGGGCCTCTCTCCTGGTCGGCACTCTGTCTCATGCGGTCGGTCCAGCGCCTGGCCGTTGCATTCAGCATGCTCTAGGCCAGTGATGGCGAACCTATGACATGCGTGTCAGAGGTGACACGCGAACTCATTTTTTTGGTTGATTTTTCTTTGTTAAATGGCATTTAAATATATAAAATAAGTATCAAAAATATAAAGCTTTGTTTTACTATGGTTGCAAATATCAAAAAATTTCTACATGTGACACGGCACCAGAGTTAAGTTAGGGTTTTTCAAAATGCTGACACGCCGAGCTCAAAAGGTTCGCCATCACTGCTCTAGTCCCTCTCATCTTAAAAAGCACAACTTACACCCTGACTGGTTTGGCTCAGTGGATAGAGCGTCGGCCTGCGGACTGAAGGGTCCCAGGTTCGATTCCGGTCAAGGGCATGTACCTTGGTTGTGGGCACATCCCCAGTGGGAGGTGTGCAGGAGGCAGCTGATTGATGTTTCTCTCTTATCGATGTTTCTAACTCTCTATCCCTCTCCCTTCCTTTCTGTAAAAAAATCAATAAAATATATATATATTTTTTAAAAAAAGCACAACTTACTATAGAAAACCTCTTCCTTGACCTCCAAACTTCTCTCTACCAAATGGTCTTGTCTCTCCCAAATTGAAATTAAGTAAAGCATTTAAAACTTACACACATCTTATGTGTGTCCAGTAGAAACAATTACAATAAAACAAAACATGCAGCAACGAGTACCGGGCTAAGAACTAAACTGGGACCCTCCCTAACACCGGCCTCCTCCCCCACCAGAGGCAATGGGTTCCCTTCACTTATCCATTCACCCGCAGGCAGACAGCTGAGTTGTTTGTGTTGCTGGAGGATTGGGTGGGTGCGATTCCTCCAGCACTAATGGGAGTGGGGGTCCTGCGAGATCCTCAGAAAAGGGATGGTCTAGGAGTCGCGCGGGAGAAGGGATGATTTTGTTTGTGTGGGAAATATGCAGCTGGGGCTGCTGTAGAACGAGAAGCAAAGCCAATGTCCAGAGTTTCCATCCACGGCGGAGCTGAGTCCCGCACAGCATCAGGCTAGATCCAGCCCACCAGTCCATTGTGTGGGTCCCACAAGGCCATGAGCCACGTGGGTGAATGCAGATTGTGGGAGCCCCACAAGCCAGGAGTCAGAAGTGAGCAGCAAGAGCCCTGGCTGGTTTGGCTCAGTGGATAGAGCGTTGGCCAGTTCCGGTCAAGGGCACATGCCCGGGTTGTGGGCTCGATCCCCAGTAGGGGGATTGCAAGAGGCATCCGGTCAATGATTCTCTCTCTTCATTGATGTGTTTCTATCTTTCTCTCCCTCCCCCTTCCTCTCTGAAATCAATAAAAATATGTTAGAAAGAAAGAAGTGAGCAGCACGAGAGAGAGCCAAGGAAGCACCAAGAGAGCGAAATTCCTTTGTTTAGGACCTTAAATATCTCAGGTTTCACATCCTTGCAGCGGCCACGCCTATTCTGGCCAATTACCTGTTCCCAGGTGTGATCGACACGTAAGCACCTTCCCACGTCACCCGGGCCTTATGGGCGTGTGTCTAAACGGCAGCTTTCTGGCAAAGCTGTGTAAGTGGCATGCCTGTATTGTCCAGCCTCCTCTGTACTCCTTCCCTGTTATCCAGTAACCAGGTTGTTATGACGGTAGCCTTTGCACACTGTGCTGTGAATATTCTTGTACACATCTCCCCTGTGGACGTGGGAGACTTTCCCCAGGGCGTGTACGCAGGAGTGGAATGGCTGGGGGAATGCTATGCCCACCTTTTCCAGGCCGGTCGCATCGTGTGCACCCTCTCCCTGCCCTGTATGCACGTTCCGTGGCAGTATTTC